TCCTGATCCGCATCCTCATCCTCATCATCATCATCGTAATCATCATCATCATCATCATCAGCAGCAACATCATCATCAGCATCATCAGCAGCATCGTCAGCATCAGCAGCATCATCATGATCAGCAGCATCATCATCAGCATCATCAGCATCATCATCAGCAGCAGCATCATCATCATCATCAGCAGCAGCATCATCATCAGCAGCATCGTCGTCAGCATCATCAGCATCAGTATCAGCATCATCAGCATCATCAGCATCATCATCATCATCGTCATCATCATCATCATCATCATCATCATCATCATCATCATCGTCAGAGATAACCAACACCAGTATCAGCATCATCAGCAGCAGCAGCTGCAGCAGCATCAGCAGCATCAGCATCATCAGCAACAGCATTAGCGTAAGCGTCAGCATCATCATCATCATCATCATCATCATCATTATCATCATCATCATCATCATTATCATCATACTCATCATTATCATCGTCATCATCATCAGCATCGTCAGCATCATCATCGTCAGCATCATCATCAGCAGCAGCAGCATCATCAGCATCATCATCATCATCAGCAGCAGCAGCAGCAGCATCAGCATCATCAGCATCAGCATCATCATCATCAGCAGCAGCATCATCATCATAATTCATCGACATCACAATCGTCATCGTCATCGTGATCGTCATCACTGGCGTCATCATCATCCTCGTCCTCATCGATTCGAACAGCTGCCACCGAGACTGCTGGACTGGCACGGTGGCGGGACTTGCCGCAGGCAGCTGGACACCATGGCCCCGAGGGGATGGGGATCGGTTAGACGATTCTGATCCAGGGTGAGCATGACCACGTTCCCTCTTCGCTGCGCCCCCTCGTGGGCGCGGGGCGCTCTCTGGGAGCGCCGAGGCCCTCCTGCGACCGGGCAGGGTGGTCTGTCGGGCCCCTGTCGACGATGAGCGGGCGATCAGGGATCGAGGTACTCCCCCCCCCATGAGCCTATCCCCCTGACGCTGTTGCCCAGGACCTGCTCCCCTCCCCTCTCCCTCCTCTGACCTCCAGCAACTCTCCACGGGGCCAAGGGCGTCCCAGGGGCTCCAGAGTGGTGCGAAAAGCTGGGCCCGAGTCCAGGGCGAGCCTGAGGAGGGAAGGGGGACTGGTTCAGGGGGGGGGGAGGAACACGGACCTGGAATCGGCGATGCGTCGCCGATCAATCGGACCTGCCACCGCAAAAAAAGGGAACTGCCCCCAGTCTGCCCCGCCCCCCCCCCACCCCCTCAGCGGACGCCCAAGAGCGCCAGCAGCCCAATGTTGCTCTGGTTCCGCCGCCGGGCCCGCGCCGCGATCCCGCGGCTGCGGCGGTACTCCGCCAGCGCGATCTCCCTGTGTCGCCTCTCCGCCTCAAGCGCGTCCTCCCCGGACCCCCGACGGCATGATGTTGTTCATGACGTGAGCCCCTGGAGGTCTGGACCCTCTCCAGAGGACCACGTGTTCATTCCAAGTTGACTTTTGACTGCCCGGCGGGGCCAGGCAAGGGCACGACGCGAGGGGGTCTGATGGCCCGAAAGGTCCCGACCTCAAGTCGGGTACGGCTACACGACGACACTTGCATCCAGCATACTAGCAGTTGTATTGTGAGTGTCGCCGCTTCCCTGCTGATGGGAAGGGGACTCTACAGGCGGTCAATGGCCCGGGAAAAGAAGGAAGAGGGCGACGACGAAGGGAGGGAAGGAGGAGGCAGAAGAACGCGAGCAGCTTTCGGGTCGTACCTGGGGCCTTGGGCACCCCTGGAACGCTCTCGGCGAGGCGGAGCTGATGGAAGGCGTCCCGAGGCCAGAACACCTCCCGGAACCGACGAAGACATCCGAAAACGTCTGGCGCGCGTCCTCCGCGTGCTGCGGCACGTTGGGCAGGGCCTCCTCCGCGGGGCGCGGCGGCGGGCTGCGGCCCGCCCCGAGGCGGGCGCGGCTGCCAGCGAGGAGAAGGCGCGCGTGACGCTCAGCGAGGGGCGTGCGCACGACCGCCCGCAGCGAGGGCCTGCGCGCGGGGTCCTCTCGAGGACAGCACAGCCCACCCCTCCAGCCCCCAGCCAGGGCCCCCACTCCTGGCCTCCTGGGCTGGGGCGGTCCCGCGCCCCAGCCTGAGAAGCCGCCCAGAGCCAGGGAAACCTCTCCAAAACCCTTGAGCCTCGAACCCAGGAACCTTCGGAAGACTCCCGAAGACCTCTTAGACCGACGACAGACTTCGAAGTTTTTGCCTGTCGGCCCACGAGATGAGGACAGCAAAGCCCACCCCGACCGCCAGCCAGGACCCCCACTCCAGACCTGGTGATCCAGGGGGTCCTGGCTAGGGGTGGGAGTAGCTTTCTGGAGGCTCTTGGGGGCCCAAAAACCACCCCCACCCCTAGCCAGGACCCCCTGGATCACCAGGTCGGGAGTGGGAGTCCTGGCTGGGGGTCGGGGTGGGCTTTGCTGTCCTCATCTCGTGGGCCGACAGGCAAAAACTTCGAAGTCTGTCGTCGGTTCTTCTTCGGGAGTCATCCGACGGCTCCTGGGTTCGAGGCTCCAGGGTTTTTGGAAGGTTTCGTCGGTTACGCACCTGGCGTCTTCGCTCAGTTTCGGGCCCCTTGACCACCACATATCGATCTCGCTCACAAAATGCCGCAGGAAGACGGGGTCACTCCAGTCGTGATGTTTCTGAAGCTTTCAAGGCCCAAGGATTTCGGAAGGTCTCGTCGATTCTGAGCGGCTTTCCAGCCTCGGGACGCTGTCCAACAGCTGCGCCTCGCCGACGGCTCTGTCGGAGTGCCCAGATCGCCCCGAACGGCCGCGGGAGAGCCGAGCTGCGACCCGAAAACCAGAGGGCGGGGCAGGGCGAGGGCCGCCTTCTCAGAGGGCCCTCCTGGGATCGGGCACGCGCAACCATATGGATCAGGGATCCGTGCATCTGGACGCCTGACTTGGCGACAGACCGCGCCGGTGCTGCCTGGAAATCGCTGATCCACACGCCGTGGTCCATGTCTGCGCGTCCTCGAGGAGGCCTCCCCTGGGCGCGCTTCCAGGAGGTCCTCCTCCCCGTTTACCCTCTCGGGACGACGGCCGCCCCCCCCTCCCCCACCCCCGTCGCCCCCGCCCTCGCTCTGCGTGCCGCCAGGGTCCTTGTCCAGGAGGCCCAGCACGATCTGCCCCAGGCCCCGCGAGAAGGGCTCCGGCAGGGGGTCCGGCACGGCGCCCAGCACCTGCATCATCAGCGCGGGCAGATTCGAGGCGCGGAACGGCACCCTGAGGGCGGCGAGCTCGTAGGTGACCACGCCGAGGGACCACAGGTCGGACTGCACGCCGTAGGGCTTGTTGTTGCAGATCTCGGGCGAGAGGTACAGCGGGGTGCCAATGCAGGTCTGCGCCTCGGCGGCCGTGCTCTCCAGCACCCTCGCGACGCCGAAGTCCCCCAGCTTCACAAGGCCGCCCCTCGTGAGGAACACGTTGTGGGGCTTCAGGTCCCTGTGCAGGATCTTGTGGCCATGAACGTGCATCAGGGCAAACACCAGCTGCAGGTGGACGCACACAACCTCCGCCTCCGAGAGGATATTCTCGGCGTCCTTGCACTCCCTGATCTTGTCGGCGAGGTCTCCCCCGTCCGCGTATTCCATGACGATGTACAGCTTCGGCCCCTGCAGGAAGGAGTCGATGTACCCGATGATGTTCGGATGGGACATCTTGCGCAGGACCTCTGACTCCGCCACAGCCACCTGCAGAGACATACGGAAGGAAGAGGAAAGCGACTACCAGAAGGCAGGGATGACTGTGAGGGGGAGGAGGGGGGCCGGAGAGGGAGAAGGATTAGAGAACGAGGGGCAGCAGGAGGCGGAGAAGGATTAGAGCGAGGGCGACGAGGGAGGGGGGAGGACAAGCTAGGTGCGCTCACGTCATACATGATGTCCTACACCTCCCTCCCATCCCTTACCATAGCGTAGATCTCGTCTGTGTTCGCCCAATCGGATGCCGTAACATGGCATAACATTACATGGCATAGCATGGTGTCGAAGATCAACGCGTAGCAGGACATATCTTGTCGTGGCGACGCCCCAAAGTGGGGGGGGGCTTCTGCGGCCCAAAAAAACAACGAATCGGCACCGAATGTGGAATCACTTCCGATGTTTTTTTCGGGGGCGCAATTTCTAGATTGTGGGACCGATTTGGAAGGACCGAAAACCATGCCGTGGCATGCGGAAATGAGGCCAGCGCTGCAGCTGGAGACCGATTCGGAACGAGCGGTAGCCCGAAAATGAGAAGCGCTGCAGCGAGAACCATGCAACATTAGTAGGAGCGGTAAACGCCGTCCTCCTCCGTCTCCGCATCGTCGTAGTTGTAGCCGTAGCCGTAGCGGTAGTAGTAGTACTAGTAGTAGTAGTAGTAGTAGTAGTAGTAGTAGTAGTAGTAGTAGTAGTAGTAGTAGTAGTAGTAGTAGTAGTAGTAGTAGTAGTAGTAGTAGTAGTAGTAGTAGTAGTAGTAGTAGTAGTAGTAGTAGTAGTAGTAGTAGTAGTAGTAGTAGTAGTAGTAGTAGTAGTAGTAGTAGTAGTAGTAGTAGTAGTAGTAGTAGTAGTAGTAGTAGTAGTAGTAGTAGTAGTAGTAGTAGTAGTAGTAGTAGTAGTAGTAGTAGTAGTAGTAGTAGTAGTAGTAGTAGTAGTAGTAGGAGCAGTAGTAGTAGTAGTAGTAGTAGTAGTAGTCATTCTAGTAGTAGTAATAGTAGTAGTAGTAGTAGTAGAAATAGTAGCAGTCGCAGTAGCAGTAGCAGTAGCAGTAGTAGTAGTAGTAGTAGTAGTAGTAGTAGGAGTAGTGGTAGTAGTCGTCGTAGTAGTCGTAGTACTCGTAGTACTCGTAGTAGTCGTAGTAGTCGTAGTAGTCGTAGTAGTAGTAGTAGTAGTAGTAGTAGTAGTAGTAGTAGTAGTAGTAGTAGTAGTAGTAGTAGTAGTAGTAGTAGTAGTAGTAGTAGTAGTAGTAGTAGTAGTAGTAAGTAGTAGTAGTAGTAGTAGTAGCAGTAGCAGTAGCAGTAGCAGTAGCAGTAGCAGTAGCAGTAGTAGTAGTAGTAGTAGTAGTCGTCGTAGCCGTAGTCGTAGTAGTAGTAGTAGTAGTAGTAGTAGTAGTAGTAGTAGTAGTAGTAGTAGTAGTAGTAGTAGTAGTAGTAGTAGTAGTAGTAGTAGTAGTAGTAGTAGTAGTAGTAGTAGTAGTAGTAGTAGTAGTAGTAGTAGTAGTAGTAGTAGTAGTAGTAGTAGTAGTAGTAGTAGTAGTAGTAGTAGTAGTAGTAGTAGTAGTAGTAGTAGTAGTAGTAGTAGTAGTAGTAGTAGTAGTAGTAGTAGTAGTAGTAGTAGTAGTAGCGCCAGAACCGCCGACGCCACGCCGTAAGTGAAGCAGCAGCAGAAGCAGGCAGCAAGTCGCCGAGACAGCAGCAAAAGCAAGCAGGCACGGAGATGAGGGCGGGGCACTGGGGAGTTCTTTCCATCTACATATATATATCTACACCTACATCTACATTGACACCTACATCTACATCTAGACCTACATATACATCTCCACCTACAGCTACATCTACAACTACACCTGCATCTACACCTACCTCTACATCTACATCAACAGCGAGACTCACATCTACATCTACATGTACACCTACATCTACATCTACATCTACATCTACACCTACATCCACATCTACACCTACACCTACATCTACAGCTACACTTTCGCATTGGTTTTGTTGTTGCTTTGCATTGCCTTTGCTGTTGCTCTTGCCTTTGCTTTTGCCTTTGCCTTTGCTGTTGCTTGTGCGTTTTGTTTTTGCTGTTGCTCTTGCTGTGCCTTTGCTTTTGATGTTGCTATGCTGTGCTATGCTATGCTATGCTGCGCAATGCTGGGCTGGGCTAGGCTAGGCTATGCTATGCTATGCTATGCTATGCTATGGTGCGCTATGCTATGCTGCGCTATGCTATGCTGCGCTATGCTATGCTATGCTATGCTATGCTATGCTATGCTTTTGCTTTGCCTTCGCTTTTGCCTTCATTGTCGCCTTTGCTTTTGCTTTTGCTTGGCACCCAGGAAGCGCAACTGGGGGAACCGCGCGCTTGCTTTTACCTTTGCTGTTGCTTTTGCTTGGCTCCCAGGGGACTGGGGGAACCGCCCGGGGCTGTTTGCACTGCCCGGCCCCTTGAAGCCAAGCGAGTAAGAACCCTTCTAGGCAGAGCCTAGGTAGGGAAAAAACGAAACAACTACTAACAACAGCAAAAAAAGGCAGAAGCGCGGAAATGAGGACCCGTAGCCTGACATAGCATGGCGTGGCGACCCCCAAAAGTGAGGGGGGGCCTCTGCGGCCCAGAAAATCAACGAATCGGCACCGAATGCGTAATCACTTCCGATGGTTTGGGGGGCCATTTTCTAGATTCGGGGGCCTATTTGGAAGGACCGAAAACCATGCCGTGGCATGGCGCTGAAAATATTTACGCCAACGCTGCAGCGGCAGCACGATTCGGAACGAGCGGAAGCGCGGAAATGAGGCCAGCGCTGCAGCTGGAGACCGATTCGGAACGAGCGGTAGCCCGAATATGGGGCCAGCGCTTCAGCGAGAGCAGCATCTTTAAGAGGAAAAAAAATAAAAACACGAAAACCCGTGTCACGGGACTCATCTGTAAAAGACAAGTACGCGGAGGGGCGCCGGATATTTCCGGGACGCCACCAGGGGAGAGAGGAGAGTAGTATTCAAATTGTGCAAATGTGAAGGATCAAGAAATGTGAGAGGGAGGAAAACCAGGGGCGGGAGGGGGGGGGTCCAGAGTAGGCCCAAGATGCATCAACGATGTTGCAATACACGTTTCTGTCCCAAGTCCCCTTCTCTTATATCCCACAGGCTTTCCCCCCCTTGAAAGACCAGCACAGTTAGGACTGCCATTTTGGCAAGGGGCCAGCTTTGAAAAGGAACTGCATTGCATCGTTCTGGCGCGTAATCATGAGCACGAAAAAACATGATCATCACACACATACAATTCAACAAGGTGTCGAGCGAAATCCCCACATTCGAAGAAAAAACGCCTGCCGCCCGTTGAACCGCTGCAGAAGTTCACACTTACGGCCATGACCTCCAAGGAATTAAAGGCGTTGTCCGTGGGAAAACATGGACCCGTGCAGTGTTACACGTGTTGAAGAGTCGGGGCTGAGGCGAGAGCCCCACTTTGAAAACAATCTGGGCTCTAACCTTTCCAACACTTGTCTTTGTACGAGACGCGCTCTCCAAAAAGGTTTGATCACCACGGCCGCAATCGCTTCAAACTCATCCGTTCTATGTGCAGGACACGGGTCTTCGCAATGAGCTGGCAAAAGCTGCCCCCACTGCCCAAAACTCTGGAATCGTATTTGCATAAACATGCTGCAAGACATCGCCACGTGCGACATGCGAATTTACACTGCTACTGTCCACTTCTCCAGCCAGCACATCCAGCGCATAAATCATGATTGCATCAATTACCTCCGATGCGAAGTGCGCTTCAGAAGAATTTGAAGAGTGCCAAATACTGTACTGCTCGACGCCTGGTGAATTTAGGAATGATCTCAAGATAATCGTGCAGATGTAGGCTGTATTCGATACGTTGTCTGGTCTTGCTTGTAGAGGCCAGGACAACGGATTTGGACACACACGGTCAGCCAACCTCGCAAGGGGTGACTCAAGGCGGGACCGCTTCATGGACTGAGGGATGTACTGGTATCAGCTTACTGGAGAAATTGATCCTTGAGCCAAAGGGCAAGACTACGTGACAATATGTTGCATGAGACCGTCAGCAGGTCGATCAGGAAAAGGTGGAGAAGGGCGAAGAGGGTGAAGACGACGACGGGGCTGTTGTCCCCGACGGGCCTGGCGCTGCTTCTCGTCCAGGTGCGGCATATTCACCTCCTTCGCCACCTCGGAGGCCGCACAGAGCGAACCAGAGAAAATGGGGCCCGCAGATCTCATCCTATCTTCGACGCATCGCGGACCGACGCATCGGATATGTCGCAATGGATGAGATCGGGCTCGTGGTCGCAACGCGTCGCCGATGCATCGGCGATACGGCTCGGTCCCCCGACAGGGCAACCACATGTAAACGCTGCCCCTGCAGGTCAGACTTTCAAAGCACCGATGGGGGCTTAGAGCTTGAGGGGCATCTGCGGAGCGAGCCCCAACAGGGGTGTCGATACCCTGGTGCCGATTGACCCCACAGGGGTAAAGTTCGTAAGTGGTCGGAGGTTGCCAGTGGTCCTGGATCAAACTGCTCCTTCGCACCGTTTTCGGACCCATGGGGCCCTCCGGAAAGCCCAGGGTCACCTTGGGCTAGGGTCACCTCCTGGCAACACCCGAGATGGTCGCAGGTAGACCCCGTCTGCTCTGGCCCCACTTTGGAAGCCCTGACATCCGCCGATGTGATTTTTCAATCCGCCGCCCCAACAAGTCCCGACTCCTTCCAAGGGCAAGGGATCATTTTTCCGCCCCCGAACCGTTTCTTACGGTCCAGGGCCCCGACAAAGGCCCTCAGAAGCCGAAATTTACGAAAAATGCTAAGCGAGATGATCTTAGGAAACGCGATCCACCTTTGCTTGCCGGAAAGAAATGAAGGGGGATGTCTCAGAAACCCGGAGACTCCCCGCTCATCTGAAAAAAATCCGGATGGGTGGGCCTCAGAAACAAGGAGATCTCTCCCTAACGCCCCCCACCCACTCCCCCCAAAAAACCGGGACGTCCAGAACTCCCCCCCCATCCGCGCAAGGAGGTGACGAACCCCCCCACCGTCGCCGTCGCCGCCGTCATCGTCGTCGCCGCCGTCGCCGTCATCGTCGTCGTCGTCGTCGCCGCCGTCGTCGTCGTCGCCGCCGCCGCCGTCGTCGTCATCGTCGTCGTCGCCGCCGCCGTCGTCGTCGTCGTCATCCTCGTGGTCGCCATCGCCGCCGTCGTCGTCGCCGTCGTGGGTCGTCGTCGTCGTCGTCGCTACCATGGGCCACACTGAAGTCCCAATGAGGTCACATCCACCACGGGTCAGAGCCAGACCCCACCAATTAGGTCACATCCACCACTGCCACCGTCGTCGACGCCGCCGCCGCCGTCATCGTCGCCGTCGTGGTCGCCAAGCCGCCGACGTCAACTTGGGGGGGGAGGTCTGGACCCCCCCAATGATTTTCTGGGTGGGGGCCAGACTTCCCCCCCTTTTGGAGCGAAAGGGATCGGACACCCCCTCCCTTGCCAGCAGCATCAGAAAGCACTCGTTTAATGATTTGTTTCAGTGCGCGTTCCCAAGGCAGTCCCGACCCCTTCACCAGAGGCAGTGTTTCGCACCGGACCAGTTTTTGTGGCCCGACGCTGGGATTGTAAAAATCCCGTCGTCGGAAATCTTGAGGGGGAACGATAATGGGGAAATGGCTCAGGGGAGGAGACGTCGATCTGGAATCGGCGGTACATCGGCCACAGATCGGCGATGGGCCCCCGATAGCGACAACACACGTTCCTGGGAAGGACGGGCTATCGGACCCCATCGGCGACCAAGGGGCGATTGAGGGCGATGCATCCTATCCAGCCTATGCCCCCCTGACACTGCCTCCGCCAAAGAGGCAACAGTGAGCGTGGAGAGGGCCCCAGGGCGCTAGGCGCACGCCCTGAGGAGCCCTCCTGGCGGAGCAGCCAAGGAAAAACGACGTTCACGTTCGCAGTGCCACCGCCATCGCAAGCGCGTGATTGACGACGCGTCACGTGCTGAGCGCGACGCGTCACGCCACGAAGCCACGCGTAACGTTGCCCCTGAGGGCACCTGCAGCTCCTCCGCGCCGGCGCCGGGGCCGCCTTCCCGGGGGCCCCGGCGCCGCACGAGGTGGGCGGCCCCGTAGGCGCCGCAGCCGAGCGCACGGAGCACCTCGTAGCGCTGCTCGAACATTGCGCCGGAGCGAACGGCGCAGGGGTGCGCCAACGGGGGAGTGGCTGGGGCAGGTTCGACCCTGAGATCCTTTCGTCGCAGTTTTCAGCATGGGCGATTTTGCCTTGTTTCGGGCACCAGGAACCTCGCAGATCGATCGGGCTCGGAGAATGCCGCAGAAAGATAGGGTCAAGGGTCCCAGTCGAGCCTTTGTTTTCTGATTTGCAAGTGTTTCGTGACGTCGGATCTCAGGGAACGGCGCAGGAGTCAGGGGGAGCAAGTTCGGGGATCAAGAATGAAGGCTTTGCGCGCCTCCGGCCCTTCTGGAGGCCTCAGGACGCCTCCTCCAAAGGGCCCTGGAGGCTCCGAAGATCTGCGAGACCTCTGGAGGCGGAGAATGCGAAACGGCAGCCGTGTTCCTGGCCAAGGCCGTCCTGGGCCCTGGGTGGGCGAATACAACCTCTTTGCCTCGAGCAGGAGGGTCCATACACCATCGTAGAGCGCAGGATGGCCATGACCAGGTATGGATGTTGCGCGTTGCGAGGGAAGCCACCAGACGCCTCTGCGGAGACCTCCAGGAGACCTTCGGAGACCCCAGCGGAGATCCCAAGAAGCTCGGGGGACCTCCACGCGCACTTGCTGGCGGCGCGCACCTAAGGGCTGGGGCGAGGGGGCGCCCTTCTGAGAAGGCGGGGGGGGGGTTCTCGGATGACCCTTTTCAGCATTCAGAGAAGGATCTCTGCGAAGCCCTGGGGCGCTTCTGACAAGGCACGCCCCCCTGAAGGCCGCACATCTCGCCCCACCCCCTCGCGCGCACCACTGGCACGGGAGCAGGCCAAGAAAACAAATCAGGGGGAACGCCAGAGGCGGCTGGCTCGGGGGGGGGGGGGGAACATCGACGTAGAATCGGCGGTGAATCGGCGACAGGCCCCCCATAGCAAATCCGCGTCTCTGGGCGGGCTGGGCTATCGGGCCCATCCTGGCGATGAAGGGGCGATTGGGGGTCGATGCCTTCCCCCTGAGCCCATCCCCCCTTGGCGTTGCCCCCGACAAAGAGGCACGAGGGACTTTGGAGAGGGCCCCAGGGCGCCCGGCGCACGCCCTGGGGTGCCCTCGAGGCGGGGAAGTCAGAGGAAGGCGACGTTCGCGCTCGCAGTGCCACCGCCCGCCATCGTAAGCGCGTGATTAACAACCGACGCGTCATGTGCTGAGCGTCACGAAGGCAGGCATGTCCCGCGCTCGCTTGATAGATAGCCGGAGGTGTTTCGTCGTAGTTGATATGCAAGTTGTCCCGCACTGCTGACCGCTTGCTCATCACAGGGTATGCAGGACTGAGAATACAAGCGTTCATAGATGCGGTGCGGGACAGAGGGACAGGGGGAACAGAGAGAGAGAGAGAAAGGGAAACCAAAAAACGGAAAAAAAGGGTATGTGGTTGCAAATGTGAGCATTCAGAAATGTGACGCAAGAGAGAAAAGTGTGCGAGAGACGGAAAGAGGAAAAACAAAAACACAAATTACTCCGACGGTGGGACACCACATGATAATATGTTTAGCTTACCTGGGGATTTCCTCCTGCGAAGGGCGACGAGTCCTTGACACAGAACTACCGGCCAATCTCTCTCCTGTCCGTCAGCTACAAGGTCGTGGCGAGCCTCGTCCTAAAAAGAATGTCCACTGGAGGGGTGGAGGAGAAACTGAGGGACACGCAATTCGGTTTCCGGAAGCAGAGGCGTCGTTCCACTGATGCGATCTTCTTAGTTCAAAGAGCGATCGAACGGACCTGGGCGTCCAAAGACGGGCAACTATCAGCCATACTCCTAGATTGGTCGAAGGCGTTTGACAGAATAGATCCAGCAGCCCTCCAAATTGCTCTTGCCCGGTTTGGCATCCCGCGGGCCTACTGCGACAAGATCACGTGCATTTATACCAACCGCACGTTCGACATGACAGATAGCCATGGCTCCTCCGGAACTCGCCCAATAGGAGCGGGCATCGCCCAGGGTTGCCCACTGAGCCCATACCTCTTCATCATTATGCTGTCAGCTCTCATGACAGATGTACAGGCCGACTTGGTGAACGAGCTCGGCCCAACTCCTTCGGATAAAATGTGTTTCGATGTTACTTTTGCCGACGATACGGCGCTTATTTCAGATGATATACCAAGAGCGCAGCACTTTCTGAACCGTCTCATTGCGAGGGCCCACGCGTACGGACTAGAACCAAATTGGGCGAAGACCGTCCATCTACGAGTCAGGCATGCTTCGGACATCTTCGCTCCAGGCGGAGTCCCAGTGAAGCCTGTGACTTCTGCAGTCTACCTCGGGGGTCTCTTGTGCGCAGATGGCGGCACTGGCACAGCCGTGGCAAGGAGGATCGGAGAGGCGAGGGCTGCGTTCCACACCCTCAAACTAGTATGGCGGCATGCCAACATCCGGCGATCACGGAAGCTTACGTTGTTCTGGGCGTACGTCATAAGCAAACTGACCTACGGCATCGAGACGCTCTGCCTCAAGACAGCTGACCGAGACAAGCTCGATGCCTTCCACGTGCAATGCCTCCCGCAAGTATTGGGCATTCCGCACCCCATGGTGTCGCGAGTCTCGAATGGAGAGGTCCGACGACGAGCACACGAAGTGGCACTGAGTCAAACAATTATTTTCCGACAGCTGCTGTCTTTTGGCAGGATCGCGGCCATGCCAGATTCGCTCCTCAGACGCAGCATTTTCAGCGCAGGATTTGTCGAGCCCGCCAGCTCACACGCACCGAGGCGGAGAGGCCGACCCCAGTTGACATGGAGCTCAGTGGTCAGAGCACACGCCTTTTCGGCGATCAGGGGTCTCTCACCCCCTCCTCTTCCTCGTCCTCCCCCCCCCCCTCCTGCCCTCCCTCTCCCCGCCCCTGCCCCCCAAGAGAGCAACTTGTTTCAATTTCTCAGTCCTGAACACTATAGCCCGCACGTGTGGAGGACAATCGCCAGCCGCCGGTACACCTTTTCTTGAACTGTCCTAGATTTCTGTGCCATGGTCTGGACATGCGCCTCCAGCTGGCGGCACATCTTCAGCCGATGTGTCGTGCAGACACGGCGTTATTGATCGTTGATCGGGATTTCCTCCTGCCCCCCCCCTTCTCCCACCTACTCCTGCCTCATCCTTATCCTCTTGCCTGCTCCTCCTCCTCCTGCCTCAACCCCTGCCTCCTACTCCCCCTCTTGCCTCCTCCATCACCTCCTCCTCGTTATGCCTCCTCCCCCAATTACCCCTGTCCCTCCTGCCTCCTGGGTCCTCCTCCTCTTTCCCTCTCCCTCAACCTCCTCTTCCTCATTCCCTCTCCCGCCTCCTCCTCTCCCTCTCCCTCCTCCGCCTACTCCTCCTCGTCTCCATCTTCCTCCCCCTCCTCCTCTTCCTGCCTCGTCCTTAGGCCTCCGGCCTCCTCCTGGGGCCTCTTGGGGCCTCCTGGAGCCTTCTGGGCCTCCCGGGAAATCCTGGGGCCTCCTAAGGCACTCCTCTTCCTCCTTGTCCTCCTCGTCCTTCTCGGCCTCTGCCTCCTCTTCCTCTTCCTCCTTCTTTTTCTCGTCCTGCACCCTCCTCCTTCCTTCGTCGTCCTCCTCCTCCTCCTCCTCCTCCTCCTCCTCCTCGTGCGGAACACGACCCAGAGGAAGCGCACGACATGCGTGCCAAGAGATACGCGCCGGAGGACGACTCAGAGGAAGCGCGCCCGGAAGACGAACCAGAGGACGACCCGGAGGAAGCGCAGGAGGCGCGGGCCCCATACGGAGGGAGTTCCCGCCTGAGACTTCCTCGCAATTCACTCACAGACGAGCCTCCCGCCTGATACTTCCCCCATATTTAAGGAGCCCCAAAGTGACGACGGTTACACGTATGAGGATGACCCGCTCGGATTAAAAGCATGAAGTGCAAGCCCCATGGGGAGGGGGCTCCCGCCTGAGACGTCCTCACAGCTCACTTACAGACGAGGCTCCCCGCCTGATACATCCCCCATATTCAGGCCTCAAGACCCAAAAGTGACGACACTTACACGGATGAGGATGACCCGCTCGGATTAAAAAAATGAAGTGCGGGCACCATAAGGAGGGGGCTCCCGCCTGAGACTTCCTCACAGTTCACTTAACGAGGCTCCCGCCTGATACTTCCCCCATATTCAAGCCGCAGGATCCCAAAAAACACGACGGTTACACGTCTTGACAGCTCACTCACAGACGAGGCTCCCCACCTTACACTTCCCCATATTCAGGCCTGAGGATCCCAGAAGTGATGACAGTTACACGGATGAGGATGACCCGCTCGGATTAGAAACATGAAGTGCGGGCCCCATAACGGGGGGGGTCCCGCCTGAGACTTCCTCACAATTCACTCACAGACGAGGTTCCCGCATGATACTTCCTCCATATTCAGGCCTGAGGAGCCCAAAAGTGACGACACTTACACGGATGAGGATGGCCCGCTCAAATTAAAAACATAAAGCGTGGGCCCCATAGGGAGGGGGCTCCCGCCTGAGACCTCCTCACGATTCACTCAAAGACGAGGTTCCCGCCTGATACTTCCTCCATATTCAAAGCCTGAAGAGCCCAAAACTGACAAAAGTACAAAATTCCGATGACGCGCTCGGATTGCCAACATGGAGTGCGGGCCCCATAGGGAGGGGCTCCCGCCCAAGACTCCCTCACAATTCACTCATGACCGATGACGGGGTGAATGCGTGAGTGAGGCGGAGAGTGGGAGGGAGGTGAGGTTCGTGCGCGGAGGGTGTCCAAACAAAACAAGAACCCCACTTTGAATGCGCGGACCAAACATAAAAACTGAGGTAGCACAGCCAGCTGAAGTACAGCCCAGGGTCCGCGGATTCTCCTGTCCAGCGAAATTCCTTCCCCTCGTCATCATCAGTGTCTCCTCCGTTTCCTCCCCGCTAGCCTCGTCCTCCCTCCTCCTCCTCCTCCTCCTCCTCCTCCTCCTCCTCCTCCTCCTCCTCCTCCTCCTCCTCCTCCTCCTCAGCCTCCTCCTCCAGGTTTCGCTGGGTATTTCCGCGCCATTCGGTTGCCCTGCTATGCTGGACTGCACAAGATTTGACAACTCGTTCTGAAAATCCGGATGTGTATAACCTGCTCGAAGTTATGGCGCGATTTGCTGTAGAAGTTTCAGCTATGTCGGAGCAGCATTGCTATCAAAAGAGCTGCTGGAACGAATTCCTTGCAGAGCGTTTTTGTGGTGTTCATGATGGCGCTTGATATATATATATATATATATATATATATATATATGTATATATATATAGCGCGTCTACAAAAAGGCGGCGGACATCGTTTTCGGTTGATTCCTGTTTTTGGTTTGGGCGCCCGCGCCCTGTATAGCCGACCCACAGACCCACAGGCCAGACCTAGAGGTGGCATACCTCAATCGAGAGGAAAAATGGAAAGCACAAAAGTTGGAGGCACGCGATATCCGAATCGTTATAGGTCAGAAGAAATACCCGAAGCCCCAATTACTATATGACACTTGTTTATGACGCCGCGCAGATTGGCAAAAGATAGCGGCAGCCACAGGCCATCACCAGGGCTCAGCATTATGTATGCCGCAGCGGGGTGATTATTGCATCAGACAGCATGCAATAGAAGCCAAAATCGTTCGTGATCTCTGACATGTGTCACCATCATGTTATCATTCGTATACTTCTTATGATGTCGAGAAGGGTCGCAGAAGATGGCGTGAGAGAAAAGCCATAGACAGAGCTGAAGTTGATTGTCCTGAAGCTGAAGCTAAATTATCCACTGAATCTCATAGCGTGCAGGCAGGAGACGAAATCGGTCCTGATCTTTGGAATTTGGAAAATACGACAAGTTGTATGATGAGCCACAAGACATTGCCAGAGCTTCACCATATGTCTGCCGCGTGCGAACGATAATACACCCAACTGCCTACAGGGCCCATCTTCAGAAACATTTGAAAGAATAATAAAACTCATCGTATCACTTTTCGAGTCTCGGCAGGTTAGCAGAAGATAGCGTGAGCTACAGGCCATCGTTAGGTACGCAACTGATCTCTGCAGCAGCGCGATGATAAATTATGAGAACTGCATGCATGAGGAAATGAAAATATGCTTAGAACTCTAGAAATACCAGAAAACACCGAGTCATCAGATGATTGATTTTTGATATCGAGTAGGTTGGCAAGACAAAATGCAAACCACAGGCCATTGCCGAAGCTCAAACGCAGACTTCGACTTTTATGATGTGGAAGCATGACGTCTGCGTTCGGAAGCCCCCCAAGCAAAGATCCCCCGGCGCGCCCCGGGAACTCGACGCCTCTGACCAGTTCTGGCGCAGAATGCACCGCGTTGAGCGCTGGGAGGTGGCTCCATCATGCGCTGGTGCGGTGCCGCTGCCGTGCTTTTTTGCCTCGGCACCGCTTGGCGCGCGCGGACTGGGCGCGCGCGCGCGCGCGCCGTCGGCGGCTGCCTCTGATTGGCGCCAGCGCGCGCGCGCTGCCGCGGGTGCAGGACGATTCTCTGTTG